AATAAATTTGAAGGTAAAGAATCTTTGAATTGTAGAAAATAAAGATAATATAACTAATGAAATTATATTTCTTTTTATTTTTATTTTTTTGAAAAAGACATTGTAGACATCTAGTTCTAAATTAATTAAATGCATATGTATTATTATTTTTTTGTAGTTACTAATTTATTTATAATTTAATACGATCAATAAAGTAGCATACATACTTTTCATCCATAACAACGGAGTCCTTGATTTCTTTATTTATTTATTTATTTTTTTGTTATTACAATTCGCTGTTGAATAAAATTGTTTTGAGAGTTTGTCAATGACAATTGCTACAATTACTGTTAGTAGATGATGATAATAAATAATTGAAATAAATGGTTACAATATATATCGTTATAATGATATACTAAAAATTAACTTACAAATTTCTTTAAAAGTTTTCATGCATTGACAAAATTCTAAGAATGATGTGTAAACTTGTTCAATTAGAGCCAGTGGAATGTCAACATTGTCAATTCTTTGAAAAATTGTTAAATTTTATATTGTATTTTTAATACATTTTAACATATTCATAGTATATGTTTAACAATTATGACAATTCTAATTGGGATGAAGTTCGAACCTAAGACATTTCTTATAGAAATTAATGAGTAAGTTAAGAATAATAAATATTTAACGGAATATTACGTTACTAAAGTTTATACTAATGTAATGTAAGGTTATTTAAAGAAAGAAAATAATATAATAGAGGGTAAATTAGGAAAATCATTAAAAAAAATACTAAAACCAAAATAATATGAACCATTCATTTTTTTTTCTTGCCTAAAGGTATCCCTCCAACTGAAAGTCAAAAAATTAATCATTCAATTCATCCCAACAGTCAACACACAAAGTGGTAGGGGACTTACTCCATTCACATAAGTGGAGATCGAACCCCCTACCTCATGCTTAAGGGGCAAGATGTTGACCCACCACACAAACCATGTTAATTATGAACTATTCATTTTAAGAAACAATTACACCAACATTTTTTTTTAGATTTGTAGATATTCATTTTTTGAAAGGTATATTTATTATTCATTGATCAAATTAATTCATTATTCTTTGCTTATTTTCTTTAATATTATTTTTTATATTTTTATTTTTTTAATTTTTAATAATACTATTACTATAGTTTCTAAATATATAAATTTTAGAGTTAATTTCATCGGAGGTCCATTATCTTTGGTGTCAATTTCAAATTTAGTCATAGACTATCATTTTTGTCCCTTAACACCTTAAACTATTATATATTGGACACTTTTGGTCCTTCTGATGATTTTTTAGGCAAGGGTATTTACGTCTCTTCAATTTTTATTTTATTTTTTTCCAATGAGTTCATTTCAACGGAGGTTCCTTGTATTTAGTGACAATTTCAAATTTAGTCCCAAACAACTATTTTTGCTATTTAACAATCACGTCTATTATATTTTGGACATTTTTGGTCCTTACAATAACCTTTTTTAGGTAAAACCCTCTTTTAGGCAAGAAAACTTTCGTCTCTTCAATTTTTTTCCCGGTGTTCAACGCCATTTTTTTTTTTCAATTTGCGTGTCTTCAGCCGTGAATTGCATCATCTTCTTCACCTAGCTCTTATCTTCATCTTCTTCAACCCGGGCCAAAATCATTATTCGTCAATGACGATACCAGTACGTGAGGACCTCTTGGTGTAGGGTGAATCATTTTGCAACGCAGTCGGAAAGTTCAGGATGTCGCCATTCGGTTGGCTTCAATATGTCTGCTATTGTTTTAGTCCAGGTGAATCATCTACTATAGCTGTATAACTATTAAAAAAAAATTCATCTTCTTTGTCATCGGAGAATACCCTTTCCTAAAATATGATTTTACTGGGAAAAGTTGTTGGAAGGATCAAAATTATTCAAAATATGATAGTCTAGGGTGTTAAATGACAAAAATAATTGTCTAATACGGAGTACTAAATTTGGAAATGCCACTAAAGATAATGGACCGACCTCCGTTGAAATTAACTCATTGAAAAAGAAATTGAAGAGACGAAAATACCCTTGCTTAAAATAGAATTTCACCAGAAAAAAATCATCAAAATGACCAAAAGTGTCCAAAATATGATACTCTGGGAGTCTGGGGTTAAATGACAAAAACAATAGTTTGAGACTAAATTTGATATTACCACCAAAGACTAAGGACCTCCATTAAAATTAACTCTAAATTTTATATATACTAATAGTAAACATAATACTATAAAAATTTTAATTATAAATAACTTCAATTGTTAATTGCATTAAACACAAAAATGAGTACAAGACTTTTGATTTAGAACAGACAAAAAATATTTCAACCTTAGAATAAACAACAAATTAGAGTGGCCCAGCGGTGAGGGCTTCCGAAATTTTTGGGCCAAATTTGGATACGGTCCAGGCCCAATTACTTCCGCTTTTTTAAATTCGAAACCTCACAATAAACAACAAATCAGAGTGGCGCAGCGGAAGCCTGGTGGGCCCATAACCCACAGGTCCCAGCATCGAAACCTGGCTCTGATATGAGGGCTTCCGTAGTTTCTTGGCCGAAGTTTAGCTTCGGTCTAGTTCTAGTATTTCCACTCTTCTTTGTTGGGCTTCTGTTCAGGCCCAAGTATTACCAGTTTTTTTTAGATGTTTGGGCTTTTGTGCGCGCGTGTGTATATTAGGGGTGGGCACTTTGGTTCGGTTTATTCGAACCGATCAGATCCGAACCGAACTAGTAATAGAAATCGAATTGTTCGGGATTTTGTAACCCGAACGGTTTAGTACCGAATCAAACCGAAACTGAACGGTTTGACAAAAATTGAACCGAACCGAATGTTATATAATTTTTTTTAATAAATAATAATAATAATAATAATAATAATAATAATAATAATAATAAAAAAGAAGTAAATCCAAGTTCCTTGATGCCTACTCCGCCGTTCAGTTCTCATTTTTACTGGTACCGAACCTTAAATTTTTTATTTGATTTCTTTATAGCTTGTTTTTTACATTGCACTTTTGTTGTTTGTCGCAATTGTTATTTACCTCACAATTATATCTAACTTGAGTTATATTTACAATATTCAATATTTTCCTTAGTTTCATATTTTTCTATAAATTTAATGTGCTTTACAGTCATTCTAATTTTGATTTCCAGTGCACTATAATTATTTTCTAGTACTGGAATATATTTCGAGTGCACTAGCAATGACATATTGTGTCCAAAAATTAACTATATAGTAATTGACACTTGTTCTTTTAATATCAACTATACAGATAGATGATTATTCATCTTATCAATAAAAATATTCCAACTGAATCAACTGAAGAGTCGGTTGTGCAAAAATGTTAACTGATGTTTGGTAATTAGTACTTAGTATTGTGTTTGAACTTTGGATTGCTATTTTGTTATATAATGTTTAGAGTTTGAATTTGGATTATGTGAATATGTATTATTTGGTAGTATGTTCGAAAAATTAGGAAATGTTGAAATTTGGAGATCTTAAACCGAACCGAACACCGAACCGAATTAAATCCGAACCGAAACCGAACCGAACCCTAATGTTAAACCGAATGGTTTAACTTTTTTAAAACCGAAAAACCGAAACTGAAAAAAACCGAACCGAAATCCGAAACGCCCACCCCTAGTGTGTGTGTGTGTGTGTGTGTGTGTGTGTGTGTGTGTGTGTGTGTGTGTGTGTGTGTGTGTGTGTGTGTGTGTGTGTGTGTGTGTGTGTGGTGTGTGTGTGTGTGTGTGTGTGTGTGTGTGTGTGTGTGTGTGTGTGTGTGTGTGTGTGTGTGTGTGTGTGTGTGTATATATATATATATATATTTGTCCCGTGCGATGCACGAAAAATATGTTATAAAAATATACCCTATATGAGATTTATTCATATATAAAATTTTTGTTATTTAATAAGTATTATGTGTGAATTCCTATGATAAAATTATGAACATAAATATATTTACAATTAAAATAATATTCAAAGTGGGTGATTACTACAAATCTTAAACTATATTAAAAATTTAGTACATAATATTTAATATTACAAATTTTTAAGAAGTTAGTAAACTACAATAGTAATTGAATTACAATTTTAGAGTCACCACGGATCAAAATTTTTAAACCTTTGAGATTTCTAACTCTAGATGTAGCAACAAACAATTGACCTTTAAAGACCAAACAATTATTTATAAATATAAATGACTATTAATCATCATCACCATTTAAAACAAAATAATTGTAACAATAATTGCTCACCAAACCATAGGGCTATATTATAGTTAAGATTTCAATTATTTTTTTTAGAATTAAAAATAATTTTCAAGTGTTAACATTTACTTTCCTTATCTGGTTTGTCCTTCACTTTTGTGTTCTTTTCCCTTTGATATTTTATAAATAGTTTTCAAGAGTAGTTTTCCCTTTGATATATGGTTTGACATCGTTTTTAATGCTATATTATTATTTTTGTTGCAAAATTCACTATTTTCATGTAATTATATGGATAATGTATCAGATTTTGTTGTATTGCATTAAATATTTTCTTCACTTGTTTCCTGTTATATATCATATGTTTTTCACTCATATAAAATGTGTTTGCTAAATCTTAACTATAATACCAACATGTAATTAATACCAATATTTAACCATTAATATCAACATTTAATTTTCACAAGACCATACTGCTTTATTATAATTAAGATGTATATATATATATATATATATATATATATATATATATATATATATATACACTCAATATCAATACTCTACAATAATTATAGACATCTGTTGGTGATCTATCACTGTGGATGGAGAGCACGAAAAACCTCTCTTCTCTAAGATCCTCTGAGGATCAAGATCTCTTGACACGGAGCACGAAGAGGCCTAAACGGGACGACGGTTTGTCTCGATCGCGGGCGGACGGTGTGAACGTTGAGACGTAGGAGGGTGACGACGTGGTGATCGTGCATGAAACACCTGCTGACATGATGATAGAGACAGCCGATGGGCCCTCGGCGGAGGCTCACCATGGCGTTGGATCAGTGTCGCCGACGTTGAATCCAGCGACGACCGTATCGCCGGAGGCACCACGAAAGACGTATGCGGAGAGCGTGGAAGGCCGGCGCTCTGTTGACCAACAACCGAATCATGATTGGCTTAATGCGGAAAGTGACGAAGCTGACACTGACGTGGATGAAGATGATGATCCACTCTGCCCCACGATAAGATTGTCTAAGAAGGAGGTCGAGGCGATCCGCGCCCCTGGGCGGAAGGCGCTGATCATCAAGATGATGGGCCGCCGGGTGGGGTACGCGTATCTCCGACGTCGACTGTCTTCCATGTGGAGATCGAAGGGCAGCATGGACCTGATCGCCATAGCAAATGATTATTTTCTTGTGCGATTTGGATCGATCGATGACCTGGAATTCGCTATGTACAAAGGGCCTTGGATGATCCTAGATCATTACCTAATCGTGAAGCCTTGGGAGCCGGATTTTGATCCGTATAATGACACTAAGGAGAAAGTTTTGGTTTGGCTACGGGTTCCTGATTTACCTGCTGAGTATTTTGATAATATTTTTCTCAGGAAGCTGGGGAATCGCATCAGACGGATAGTTCGGGTGGATCAAGCAACTAGCTTGGTGTCGCGTGGCATGTTTGCCAGAATCTGTGTCGAGCTAGATATGAGGGAGCCCCTGATCTCGAAGTTTACCTATAAGGGGAAGGTGAAGCACGTCACCTACGAATGAATGCATCTGGTGTGCTTTGCATGCGGTTTATACGGACACACGAAGGAGGCTTGCCCGGATCTGAGAAGAGCGGCTAATGCCCAGGAGGGTGACACGGATGCCAATGGGGGGGACAAAGAAGGTCAACGGGCCTGTACCAGTGGTGTCTGAGCGTCTGGATCCCAAGATCCCGTTTGGATCGTGGATGCTTGCGCCAACGTGAAAGGGAAGGTTTGCAGCGAGACAACCTGCTCGATCGCATAAAAACGGCCGTGGACAAGGGGAGGAAAACGGAACCCGCGACGGGGGTCTGGTCCAAGCCTACAAATTTGCGCCTTTAGTGGGAGATGAACCTGAGGCGGACGGTGATCGGGTGGTGGAAACAGAACAGGCAGCTAGAGGTGTGATGGATAACAGTAGACGTAAAGACATGCCGGGGATGGTAGGTGGAGCAAGAGCGTGTCGCCCGAACATCATTGTTAGTGAACAACAAATTGAAAACGAAACCAGGGGGAACCAGGGGAAACATCCAATGCGGGGGCGCCATCGCCTAGGGTGAGACAACAAATGAGTGTCAATGTGGCGGTGGTGGCTACCGGAAGACCTGGGCGGGAGAATGGACAAGCGCCGAGAAGGGCGGCGGAGGAGAATGAAAATATCGTCGTTAGAGGCAGGCAGGGTGGACTGGGTGTCAAAACAACAAGGGTGCTCTCGGGTGGTTTGGCCAAAGATCTTCCTTCCCAAGTCTGGTATACCACTAAGGAGCATCACAGTGATCCACCACGGCGGTTTGATGAGGAAGGCGACGTTGTTATAGAGCTGGAAACCGGCTTGGCAGAAGGGGCGCTGAGTGCCCCATGAGTTTGCTTTGTGTTTTTTGTTTGTTTGCTTGCTTGTTTTGGGAGTACCATTTTTTCTCTTTTTTGTTTTTGGTTTTTATGATTAGTTTGATATGGAATTGTCAGGGCGCTGGAGGGAGGAGCTTCCAACGCGTCCTAAAAAACTTGATCCGAACTCATAGGCCTAATCTGCTTGGGCAACGCGTCCTAAAAATCTTGATCCGAACTCATAGACCTAATCTGCTTGGGCTAGTGAAACCGAAGGTTTCTGGCACGCAGGCCGACGGGATTTGTGCTAGGCTGGGTTTTTCGGATTGGATCAGAGTCGAGGCAGTTGGTTTCAGTGGGGGGATTTGGGTGTTTTGGAACAAACCGATCGAGGTTAGCATTCAATTTACTCACCCCCAATTCATTTTAATGCAGGTACAAGAGATTGGGGAGGCTCCATGGGGTTTAGCAGTCGTCTACGGAAGCCCGGCCCACCACTTGAGGAAAAGGCTCTGGAACGATCTCAGAGCGCGGAAACGAAATATCCCTTGTGAATGGGTGGCGGTGGGGGATTTCAATGCCGTCACCTGCAAGGAGGAGATTTCAAATTACACCGCTCTGGCAAACCAGAGGAACGAGGACTTCGTCAATTGGATCCATGATGAAGGCATGGTGAACTTGGGCTTCAATGGACCCCGGCTTACCTGGATGAGAGGCCTTGATAATCTGACCGCAAAAGGGGCCCGCTTGGACAGGGCCTTATGTAGTGTAGACTGGCGCCACAGGTTTGGCGATGCCAACGTGCGACATCTACCACATGTGGGGTCCGACCACGCGCCACTGCTACTCCAATCGTGTACCCCAGGCAGGGGCCAGGTAAGTTACAATTTTAAGTTCCAGGCCGCCTGGCTAACTAATGAAAGTTTTAGTGCTGTGATCAGGCAGGCGTGGTCTTTGGGCCACGGGCTTCAAGAGAACATTAAGAAAGTTCAGGAGGATCTCAGTGTGTGGAATCGGGAGATTTTCGACAGTATTGAAGTGAGAAAGAAAATCATGTTGGCACGGATAGGAGGAATTCAGAAACGGATGACGCAGTCCTTCCACCGAGGCCTATGGAAATTAGAAAAGCAGTTGTGCGGAGAGTTGGAGGAAGTGTTGTACCAGGAAGAACTCATGTGGTACCAACGCTCTAGGGAGGAGTGGATAGTGTCGGGGGACAGAAACACCAGGTTCTACCACACGGCAACTATGGTAAAGAAAACAAGAAACAGAATCATGAGTTTGAAGGATGAGGAAGGTGGTAAAGAAAACAAGAAACAGAATCGTGAGTTTGAAGGATGAGGAGGGCGCTTGGATTGACGACTCGGAAAACCTGTGTCAGCACGTTCAAGATTTCTTTTTTGCCTCCACCGAGGTTCAAACTCACAACCTCCTATATGGAAATCCAACCCGAGTGCTATCTGTGTACAAGGTGCTTGGCTTATTATTATTATTATTATTATTATTATTATTATTATTATTATTATTATTATTATTATTATTATTATTGTTATTGTTATTGTTATTGTTATTGTTATTGTTATTGTTATTGTTATTGTTATTATTATTATTATTATTATTATTATTATTATACCCTTTAGGTCATTTTACATGTTACTCTAAATAGCTAATTAAATTTTCAAATATATTTTTACCAACCGCTGATATAATTCGTTTGGTCAATCCGCTAATATCATTCGCTATTTGCTAACTGCTAACACAATCCGCTAACTGCTCATTGCCAAACAAGGACATTGTGAGGTAGTTTCGCACTTGAATTTGTTGTGTGATTTGAATACTCTCTTTGTCAACAAATCCCCAAGTAGTTAATATGATTAGCTTAATTATATATTTTTATTTTTTCATGATATTTATAAAATACTTGGTAAATAAATATATAACATTATTTTGTATTATAATGGTGATATTTAATTAAAAAATAGTGTAAAAAAAATAATAGCCAATGTAATGAATATAATCAATTGATGAATTTGAATGTAAAGAATTTTTACATTAGAGAAAAATAAAGACAATATAACTAATGAAATTATTTCTCTTAATTAATTTTTAATTTATTGATAATGAATAACTTTTTTTGAATAAAGACATTGTAGCCAATTTAAATTGTGGACATTCAGTATGTAAATTATGAACATTTAGTATATAAAATTGTGAACATTTAATATATAAATTGTGTATTTCTGAATCCCAGTTCATCTTGCAAGATGGACTCATGTACACAGAATAATTTGCCCATATGTTGTTATTTGGTGTGATTTGGAAGATATTGGATTTTCTTGTAGCTCTAAGAAAAATAAAAAAGTTCACTGGGCGTGAACTGGTGGTCACTTTTTTACTTAAAAAAAAAAATAAATTTAAGTAGGGTTAAATTACCACTAAATAAAACCTGAAAGTGAAATTGGACTATTATACTAAAAAGAATCCAATAAAGTCATCTAACAAGCAAAATGTTTACAATTTCACCTGCTAGCCAGTAGACTTCCCTCCTAGCCAGTTACATGATGACGTGGAGTCTTATGTGGCAATTTTTTTTTCCATTCATTTCCTCTTTCTTCCTAACACCAAGAAGTTAAAGAATTCCTTTGTTTATTAAAAAAAAAAAAAAAAAATCATTAACGGGCGTTTGGCTGGAGGGAGAGAATTACGTGGGAAATAAATTATAATTTCATGGGAGATGAATTACTGGAAATAAAGTGAGAATTTAAATTCCAGTGTTTGGTTTACAGGAATAAAATTACTGGAAATTTCAGTTCCAATGTTTGGTATACATTGAAATTGAAAGGGAATAAGTAGTATAAAGTCTAAAATGCCCATACTTATTATTATTATTATTATAAATGACCAAATTCAAATTTTACTTCTGAAAATTTATGTAACACGCTGTAAATAAACTTTAAAATTGCACAACGAAATCGATAAAATAGATAAGAGAGTTTTGAAAACACATATTTGATTGAGGTTACCTATTGATTGACGTTCTGTGTTGAAAGTAGTCGAGTAGAAGAAGAAGACATTATAATCGAAAGAGGAGGAATTTTAAGTAAAAAAAGAGATGTGTAATTTTGTGTGGCATGGGATTCTAATTCCATGGAAATGAAGGAATTTTAATTCCGCAGAATTGAAATTTCCTCCAACCAAACGAAGAAATTTGCTTGCCATCGAAATTATGTAGAAATTAGATGGGAATGAAATTGTAATTCTCTCCTACCAAACGCCCAATAAATTTAGGTTTAATTCTTCATATATCATATTCTTTATCCCCTATTACATAATTTAAATTTATTTCTTTAATTATTCACCCTAAGATAAAATCTCTGTTATCTAAATTCTTTATCTAGTAACGTTAATAGAATAAGTAATACTACATCTATTCTTACTTTGTATTTTTTTTTTTTTGATCTATTTTTTATTGAGATATTATTATTTGATTGGTTTAAATAATAAAATGTGTCACTATTTTTATTCATTCAACTTTTTTATCTAATAAAATTTATACACGTAGCAAGAGTTAGTTATATACTCCGTATCATTTTCCTAAAGCAAATTTGGTTCACATGTTCCGAGGATCAATCATATGAAGACAAATTTTAATGCAATTCTTTGTTTATACAAGATCATTGACTTGATTTTTCAAAGGTTTGTTTTGACCAAAACAAAATAAATAAATAAAGATAAGGAATTTCTTGATACACCATTAGTTTTTTTTTTTTTTTTGTTTTTTTTTTTTTGTTTTTTTTTTTAAAGGAAAACAACTTATTGCATTAAATCATTAGCAACACATCTAACAAGAAAATCAGGAGGAATATCAAATCATTCCCCGCAACCTCCCTAGCCAACAACATGGGCGGTACAGTTCGCAGATCGCCGAACACATCGAAATTCAACATCGCCAATTGCCGATGCTAATTCTTTAATATCATCCACTAGAAAGCCATAAGCCGAATTAAAAGAACTAGAAAAAAGAGCATTATAAACAAGCTGAGAGTCTATCTCTACTACAACATCTCCCATGCCCGTGTTCTTTAACCAGCTTAAAGCCTCTCGCAAACACATTGCCTCGGCTTCCTTGATGCTATACGTTCCAGACACCCGCATGTTCTCCGCGGCCAGAAAAGATCCATCATCCCCACGAAGCACCCAACCATAACCCATTGCGCTTGCTGGCAAATTTATAGTAGCATCTGAATTCAGCTTCATCTTCCCTACTGGCGGAGGCAGGCAAGTTGTTCTATTATGGTCTACAGTTTCGTCCGGCTGTTCAGGCCGTTCTTTTGCGCGCTTTGCGCAAATGAAATAATGCCCAATGATTATTTTTAAAAAGTATTTCAAAGTATATCAATGCAATATTATATCGGAGATGTTCATACATAGGTAAATAAACATTGAATTTGTTTATTTAAATCGGTAATTTAAAGTATATAAATGTAATATAATATATGATGGATTGATTATATTGTCACTAAAATAAAAATTTGCAACTTTGTAATAACGCTAGTCTAAATACTTAGTCTAAAAACGATAGTCTAAATAAATACTACTTTTGGTTTAAATTTCTCTAATTCTTCTTAATTCTCTTTTGGGTAGAATTGTCATTGTCTTCATCTTCAGTACATGTTCTATTTTCGGGCTTGTCTCCAACTCTCCCAAAAATTCATGGTCCTACGCAACACAATATTAGCATAAAAAACGACCCCATTCCAAACACTTTTATTCCTACTTGTCCAAATACCCCAACATGCCATCACATATTTTGCTAGCAAGTCCCCACTTAACATCTTAACATTATCAAAAAACCACTGTGAGGCAGAATTACCATGTTCAATGTTGATCACCGGAATCCCAAGCTTAGTCCAACATCCTAGCGCCTCTGTACATGTAGCAAACATATGCCTTGCACTCTCGTCCTCAAGCCTACACATGTGACATATTAATGAGCAAAATACCCGCTTAGAATTAAGAGCATCGCAGGTTGGCAAAAAGGCATTTGCTAGCTGCCAACCGAACTGTCGTACTTTAGGTGGCACATCTAAGTTCCAAATACGTGTTCAGGGCCGCTGATCAGAAACCACACCGTTCAGACGTTTATAGCAAGACTTAACGGTATAAGCTCCTTTCTGATCCTAGAACCAATACCAAGAGTGATGGTTTGCGCAGACTTACAGGTATATTCATGATCATAGACACATCCCGAGTATTAAAAATATTAGTAACCTTATGAACATCCCACCCCGTACCTTGAATATTAAGGAGCGATGCAACCAGGGGCAAAGCTACCTCTTCGGTCAGAGTTGTTGTTACGAACGGATTGTCCTCACACGGGGGCCACGCATGGTTCCCTATTGTTGTGTCAAGCCCATTACCAATACTACGGCGGCACCCCCTCGACAGCACATCCTTGACCGCAAGCAATCCCCTCCAAATGTAAGACGGGTTTGACCCCTCTTTTGCATCAAAGAAAGCACATCTCGGGAAATAACGCGCCTTATAGACACGCTCTACCAGCGACTGTGGCCTGGTAACCAGACGCCAAGCTTGTTTCCCCAGCAGGGCCAAGTTCATCTCATGTAGTTTCCTGAGAAAACGACATTAGATGACCAAGTGTAACGGAAGGATCATAGATGGTTAGAAACAAAAAGTAGGAGGACTGGAAGTGGTTGATTTAAAAGGTGAGGACTAAAAGTGGCAGTGCCACCAAAGTCGGAGGATGTCCACTGGTATTTACTCTTATTATTATTATATCATTTAGAAGAAGTCATTTTCTTTTCTTTTTTATTTTTAATTCCACCCAAAGAGAACAAAATATTATATACATAGACTCACCACATTTTGCTTTTGACACATGAACAATCAAATACAAAATTGTGAAAACTAACCATATTGATCAAAATAGATATGATGTACAATTTGCTTTTGACACATGAACAATCAAATACAAAATTGTGTAAACTAGCCATATTGATCAAAATAGATATGATGTAGGCGCTATTTAATATTTATGTACATTAAGATTTAGATTTATAAATATATGAAACAAATATTACGAATATAATGTAGGATTGTGTTATTAAGATAATGCACTAGTTGACACTTAATATAAAATAATATTATTTTAAATCAGGGTCCATCAAACAAGTTGAACCTTGGTCTATGATATAATATGTGAAAAATCAGTTTTTATACCGTGGATCATGGTCCACACATTGTTGTGTGGACCATGATCGCTGAATGAAAATATAGTAAAATTAAAATGATACTTTAGTAAAAAAAAAATGATACATTAGTGTTACTATAATGAAACTAGTGTGCAAGGAAAATGAAACTAATTAAAAAACCTAGCACATTATTGTCAAATGAAACTGTAGTATAATTAAAATGATACTTTAGTATTGGTATAATGAAACTAGTGTGCATGAAAAATGAAACTAAAATCCAAAGCCATACAATAACATATATTGTCAAATAACTTGAAGTGAAATTAAAATACTACTTCAATATTACTATTGATGGATACCCATCATGGGAACCCGGTCGGACCACCTAGCAACAAACCGGGATGTGACCAACCGGTCAATTTTCGGCTCCCTAAGCTAAATTACCCAACACCCCCCCATAACCCCAAATAAATACCCTTTTATTACCCCATTAACTACCCATAAAAATCCATTAATGGAGTGGGAAAAAGAAGACATAAGGTTGGAGTCGGATGGGTTGGCCGGAGTCCTGCAAAATGAGTCACCACTAAGTCAACCGTGCCTCCCTGAAAAAGGAGTGGGAAAAAGTAGGCATAAGGTTGGTGTCGGATGGGTTGGTTGGAGTCCTGTAAATGGAGTTGGCACTCGGTCAACTGTGCCTCCATGAAAAAGGAGTGAGAAAAAGAAGATATAAGGTTGGAGTCAGATGGGTTGGCCGGAGTCCTGTAAAAGGAGTCGACACTCGGTCAACTGTGCCTCCTTGAAAAATGAGTGAGAAAAAGAAGGAATAAGGTTGGAGTCGGATGGGTTGGCCCGAGTCCTGTAAAAGGAGTCGGCACTCGGTCAACTGTGCCTCCTTGAAAAATGAGTGAGAAAAAGAAGGAATAAGGTTGGAGTCGGATGGGTTGGCCCGAGTCCTGTAAAAGGAGTCGGCACTCAGTCAACTGTGCCTCCTTAAAAAATGAGTGGGAAAAAGAAGGAATAAAGTTGTAGTCGGATGGTTGGCCGGAGTCCTGTAAAAGGAGTCAGCACTCGGTCAACCGTGCCTCCTTGAAAAAGGCATGGGAAAAAGAATGCATAATGTTGTATTCGGATGGGTTTGCCGGAGGCCTGTAAAAGGAGTCGGCACTCGGTCAAGCGTGCCTCCTTGAAGAAAGAGTGGGAAAAAGCAGAAATCATAAGGTTAGAGTCGAATGGGTTGGCTGGAATCCTGAAAAGGGAGTAGGTGCTCAGCAAACTGTGCCTCCCCGAAAAAAGGAGTCGACAAATTCTAGTTTGGGATTCGACTATAAGTTAATGTACATTCCTATGCCATGCTTCGCAAGACACTGGAAATTGACGGACTGATGATAGATGTCCAGCATGTAAACTGGGTCGGACCACCTAGCAACAAACCGATAAATTTTCTGCTCCCTAAACTAAATTACCCAACACCCCTCCATAACCTCCAAATAAATACCCATTTATTACCCCATTAACTAGCCATAAAAACTCATTATCATTCATTAAAACCCACTAACCAACCACCAATTTATGACCTCTTAAAATATCCATTAAAATCCTAATAAACACCCTATTTAGTACCCTTGAATACCCCGTACCCACTAGCTTTCTGTAGCTAGCTATAAGAATAGCTACATCTTTAGAGGAGAAAAAACACCAAAACACCATGTACAAAAATGACAACCAATATAGTGAATTTCGGGCTTCGTACTGCCCAAAAAGACCCGTGATTTTCTCTTTCGATTTTAACATTAAAACTTCTGTGTCAATTCTTGTTTCTATTTATTATTTTCATATATTCTCCAGTGATCCACCATCTTCTCCGGTTGTTTTGGACCCCCATAGGCTTTCCAAAAGTCTAAAAACCAACAACTATAATTAAACTAGTACGTGTGAAAAATGAAACAAAAAATTAAAATAGAGTTCAAGCAATAATGTATACTATTAAATAAAACTATAATTGAATTAAAATGATACTTTAATATTGTTATAATGAAACTAGTGTGGAGGGAAAATAAAACTAAAAAATATAATAATATTGTCAAATGAAACTAAAGTGTAATTAAAATTATACATACTTCATAATCTACGCTGCCGCTACATGGATCATGGTCCATAGTAAAATCTGCCGCGAAAAACTACCAAGAAAGCTGAAGTGCATGGATTATCAAAACCAATTCTTGAAATATATATAAATTTATGAAACATCTACAACACTGAATAGTTAAAGATGTCAATTATTGTAAATAAAAAAATGTTAAAATAATAATTTTATTTTAACGGTTAACAAAGAAATACAACTATATCTCATTTTTTCTTATAATAACTATAATCTTTTTACCATTTAGTATTATAAAATGCTCTATAAGTAGTCTTTCAATTCCCTACCCCCACAACACCAAATAGTGAAAATGTAAATAGAAAATTATAGTGAAGTTTTATTATTATTATTTTTTTTTACTACACATCCGATATTCTAATAACCATATGCATAAAATAATAATTTTACCTAACTACCTTCACGGTTAACAAAGAAATACACCCATTTATACCAGACGTTATGCCATGGAACCGTGTTCACCATTCATGGTGAACACGGTTCCAACGGTGTTAGTGCACCGTTATCTTTTTTTTTTTTTTTTTCTTTTAATTAATTACGTGACTGCCTACACATTCACTTTGGAACCATGCCTACACATTCACTTTGGAACCATGAGATTATGAATTTTATGAATTTTCTGTTATGAGATTATGAATTTTCTGTTATGCGATTATGAATTTTCTGTTATGAGATTATGAATTTTCATTACATTCATAATTTCGGAGTTTCGGACATTCATAAATTATGAATTCATGCATGCACATTCACTTTGGAACCATGCCTACATATTCCCGTCCGAAATCACGGACATTCATAAATTATGAATCCATGCCTGCACATTCACTTTGGAACCATGCCTACACATTCACTTTGGAACCATGAGATTATGAATTTTCTGTTATAAGATTATGAATTTTCTGTTATGAGATTATGAATTTTCAGTTGTGAGATTATGAATTTTCTGTTATGCAATTATGAATTTTCTGTTATGAGATTATGAATTTTCAGAAAATTCATAATCTCATAACAGAAAATTCATAATTTGATCAGTAACGCGCCGTTAACTCCACATCCGCGATTTTTTTTTTTTTTTTTTTGCCTAAAAACGACGTCGTTTTGACTTGTGTTCACCATTCTCGATGAACACGATTCCACGGCATAATTTGCGCATTTATACCCTTCGGGCTTAAGAATGATGCCTCAACCAAAAAGATTGAGATCTTTGGGCTCCAAAAGGATGACTTTATGAGTGTGTCTCATCTCGTGTAGTGAACATAAGTACTTAATTGAAATTTTCTCTCTCCATTTGAATAATAAAAAAAGGATCAAAATACAATTATAATAATATTTTTTTGAATGCTACTGACTTTATTACATTGTAGTATCTGTTCAAACATACTTTCTCAATTTAATGAAGTACAAAGAGTCAATAACGCCTTCATTGAGGCTCAATCTCCCACATAGGAGAGATCACTACACAGAGGAGAGATCACTACATGCCATCTAAAGATAAGATACTTGAAACAACTATAATCATATATTTCTGCTTATAAGTTATATATAATAATCAACATTAATTCTTACTCTTATGTTTTATAGAATTTTTTGTTTTAGAAATTTGTTTATGAACTTAAAGCATAACAAAATAGTGATTAAAACAGAGATTGATATATAATTATAATGATCTAAGAATTGATTAAGCTCTTAGTAAATAGATGCTAAGCTCAGGACCGCCATGGCCATCAGGGCTCATCATGTAGAAAGCTTCAGAGTCTCTGGACCCCACAACTCGTTCATACTTTGCCCTCATGTACATTAGCTCGCCGTCCGGCCCGATCCCGTCGTCCTCCTTTCCGGGCAAAACTCCGGCGCCCATTGTGATCGGGCCGATGGAGTTCAACACCCGCCAATCGTCCGGCCCGCATTCTCTCCTCGCCGCGAACCCGCATTTCCGCCCGTTACAGTACGTCCGCCAAGCGGGCTCTTCTAGAAGCTTCGCCTTCTTCTTCTTCTTATTCTTCTCCCATGTGTTTGTGTTCCCCTCGCACTCCAAAGCGATTCGGACCGGCCCGGAAGCCATTTCCCGGACCAGAACGCCGGTGGGCATGGCGAGCTCCACCAGGAAGGCCGGGCCCAGGCGCGGGTCTTCCTGGAAGGCGAAATGCACGCGCCCGCGGCGGAACCCGAACAGGGTTCCGACCACTCTGGCGCCGAGGGGGCTCTTGATGCCGAACGTGAGAGCCGACCGGAGCTTTGAAACCGCCGTCTTACGCCGCGGCGGCGGCGCTGCGAGATCGAGCTCCTCCGGGAGCTTCCACTCTAGAATCTCCTCGCGGTCGTCGTCTTCCTCCTCCTCGAGCTTCTTGATCTTCGAGTGGAAGTATCTTCTGGAGAAGGAGAAGGAATCGCCTGGGTTCCTCGCCATGATTGTCTTCATCCTGTACTGGTCGCCGTCGCCGGAGAATGATGAGAGAGAGAGAGAGAGAAGGAGAAGGTTATCAGACTCTCCTAACTAACGGTATGAGGAAGAGGTGAAAGTATGGTGTATATATATAATTGCGACGGCTCAAGGATCCCACAAAATCTTTGAAATATATTTTTAATATTTAATGATGAATCGCTAGTTTCACGAATCACCAGACTGTCTACCGAACCAACAAAAACCTCGTCAGCAATAGTAAGACTGATATGGCATTATATTATTATTAAAAAAACAAAAATAATTATATCCATTCTCCACCAAAAAAAAAAAAAAATAAAATCCATTCTTCCAAAATTTTATCATTTTAGATAATTTCTTTTTCAGACATACATTTTTTATTAGATGATTTAGTCTTTAATAACAATTTAGTAGAGTCAATCAATTTATAGCATTCGATAATTATAACTTATAAGTCATGTCATGAGTGATTGTTTAGAATTCTCGTCTATTATTGTTATTTTGAAATCTTGGCCAATGTAGAAGTAAATTACGGTGATAGCATCAATAGTTTAGATTAGGGTATACACTATGAAGTATTATAAAGTGTAAATAGAGTAGTAATGAGGTAAAGTAATCATAGTATTAATTATCTCAATAGCTATTAGTGCACATCCAAGTTTACATGTTCAAAAGATTCTAGGTAGGTTGGGAAGTATAAAAGGTTAATTTCAAAAATTAAATCCCTCTCAAGCTAATGGAGTGCTCTATTTATAGAGTTAGAGCGATAGACGTATGCTAGAGATCTGCTGACAAGGCTGATATGGTGAATGTTCATGGATAACTTAGATTGGTGATGACATGTGTCGAGTAAGGACATGATGACCTTTTAAGGTAGTGAAAACTAATGCGATGTCTGTGACCACAAACTAGCCTTAGAGGTTGACTTTTCGGTATATGTTCGAGGTCGGGATTTAGTTTAAAGAAAAGTTGGACTAATACTAAATTTAATATTATAAAAATTAAATTAAAAATAATTTTAGTTAAGTCTCATTAACTGAACTAGATACATAAAATGAGATAAAAGAGAGTATATGTGAACTGAAATGGAATCATAAGATGCTATAGGTGATGATTAATGAAATGAAAGGAGAATGTGGGGTAGGGATGAAGCACGAGAAGCTAGCATGACGACTCACAATGGAGAACTTTAAAAAGAAGTCAACATCGGATGCAGTTATGTCTGGTGAAATTGCACCAAAACTACACCCACCCCAGCAGAAAGCTAACAAGGGTAGTAGCTAGCTAGTAAACCCTCCATGTAACTTCCACTAATCTTGCCTCTTACCATGTTGTCCGCTAATCATGAAATTATAATTTCATTTCACCAAGCTTGACCTGATCAGCAATAAGCAACGTAGGTTAATTTATCCTATTATAAATTTTTAATAGTTAGGGTCACAAGATCGAATTTCATTCAAAGCCCTATTATAAATTTTTAATAGTTAGGGTCACAAGATCGAATTTCATTCAAAGCGCACCTTTAAGTAGTTATGTAGATAAATGCTCTTGGAAGAACTCAAATGTATGACTATAAACATGAGGATCTTCATCTTGCTTGTTAGGTTAATTAAGAAATAATTGGCCCTTTCAAAAAAAAAAAAAAAGAAAAAAAAAAAGAAAGAAAGAAAGAAAGAAAGAAATCATTGGCATGTAAAGATGTAAATTAAAGAAACTTTTTATTAATTGAATTTTTTTCACTTTTAACCCCTTGGATATTGTAAATCTCCCACATATAGGCTTTAACTATTCTTTTTTTTCACATTTTGTGCATAATTATCAAATTTTTGTCACATTTGGTTAATCCAATAAATTTTATTGTCAATATTGTTTGATTTTGATCAACGCTAACCCCCAGAGCATTATGTTCTATTGTGTCATTTACATGCTGATTAAATTCAAATAAATTATATGACTTTTATATGAGAGAATTGATCGGAAAATTGATTAAAATGGCTAAATATAAAAAGAACTTGATAGTTATAAACCAAATACACAAGTTGATAATTAATGACCAAATATAAGACATGCCCAAGACTTAAGGGACCCCAAGAAAAGTAAAAAATTCTTATTATTGATTTTATCTCAAAAGTTTACAAGAAAGAGCTAGAATGTGAACAATTTCAAAAAATAATGAGAGCAGAAAACGTCAAAATTAAAGTTTGAACTAATTAATAATCATTATCACGACGTATAAAACATTGGGCTAATAAAAAGTGTGATTTTTGTTTAACTTTTATTGAAAGTGTGATCTCACAAAATTTTTTTTTTTTAATGACAAGTGAAATTTATTACTACTATTTGAAAATGTGTATTAAATAAATTTCACATTTATATAATAACTTACAAACTATAACAAATTTGTACAACATGCTCAATCAAAAAGGTACTGATAGTAATCAAACTCATGATCTTTTGGTACGTGAATTATGCTCAACTACTAGAGTGTCCTTTTGAAGATGATTTTTTTTTTTTTTTTTGATAACTCAATTTTCCAGCTTCGCTGAGTTATATCTTGGACCAAATCTAATTTTATGACTTAATTAATACCAAACTATACATTTCTGCGCAGAAAAAACCTATCTCATATCAGATTTAGAAGGTAAATCGAAACAATCTAACTATATGACTCAACACTAAACTGCATATTCTTATTATCCGCACAAGGAACTCATCCTAAATCCAGATTTCTGTTTCTTTATTTGAAGGGAGATTAATGGATCCAGAAGTCAAAAAAACACAGGACTTAATTAATATTTGTGTTTGTTTTTCCACCGACTTTGATATGCACCACATGTGTAGACCACTACTTAGGTCAATGCCTGTGGAAATTTGTCAGTGCATTTTATGACTAATTAAGAAATGAGCATTGTATATATTGTGCAATGAAAATGAAATGGATGGGAGATCAACTAATCTTCATCTACAACCAACAACTGCAGTTGAAAAATGGGCAGCTTAATTTAATGTGTGGGACAAAGTCAAAATCAATCAAAACCTATACCCAATAGAGCGAGGATGATGAGTAATCACGTTTTGTTTTCATTCATAATTCTAGCTTCATGTTGATTCACAATATATGTGGCGCACACAGGGAGATAAATTTTAAAAAGTCTCTACTCTCTAGATACTTTGTTGTATATATCTAGAGATTTCAAGTGAAAGTTTGATTGGGAGTTGTTTGTTATGATCATTATATATATATATATATATATATATATATATATATATATATATATATATATATATATATAGGCTTCGAATCCGGTGCACCTCCTATATTAGATGAGCCCATGAGCCCTCCTAATATTCATTGATCTTATTAATATGGATGGCTGAGATTGTAGTTAATTTATGTGGGAATTAAGGTTATTCCCCAAACACAGGGAGATAATGGTAATTGATTGATTAATCGTATTTAATGTCTATTTTATGATTGGAATGTGAAGCATTCTACGCATTGGTATCTTCAATGGAAATTAATAGGTTCTCATCTTTACAAAGGCTGATGCACTTACCCTGGCGTGAACAAGCTTTGACGAGAAGAACTCAGGGCTGTAAGTGCAGAGTGAACACCAACAATCTCCGGCGACCCCCACCTTAGGTATGTGCGTCCCTGATCTCTTGCTTGTGCATATATTGCTTACTAATTGTCCACGGGCAAATTAGATATTGGTAACCCGCAAAGTGTGGTGGTGTATGGTGGACGGCGTGGTGGGGTGTTGTCGTTAGTTGGGCGTAGTATAATTTGTGTGATGTTTATCGCTCGTCTGAGTTATTGTATGTGCATATAAGGTAGATTGATTGTTGACGATGGGGGCAGAATGTACTGTCCGGTAAGTGCGTTAAGTTCACCACTCAGAATGATTGGGGAAATGAATGTTGAACATATAAACAAATTTAGCATCTTAAGGTTGGTGCGTAAACGAATAAGAGCTAGTGCGTGTAAGCCGACAACATTTCGCATTATACATATATGTCTTTTTTTTTTTTTTTTTTTTCTTTGTATGGCTGGTTCTAGCGTATAACATTATTAACTATGGCATGTGTGGCAGGTGCGCTAGGTATGGAACAAGCAGTTGATGCAGATCATTGTGTTATGGGTTCGTCACCGAATGGGACACAGTTTTGGTTACCGGAATGCGACCAATCCATGAAACCGGTGATAGGGCACTTGTTTTCGACTTTGGAAGAAGGTGTTTGCTTCTACAACAACTGCGCCTCTATGAGTGGCTTTGATGTGCGACGAAGTTCAGACAAAAAGAACACTCATGGTGCGATCTTGAAGAAAAAACTGGTTTGTACGCGTGAAGGTTGCATATGGCACTGTCTGTGCGCAATGGGGAAAAACACCAGTGACCACGATAGTTGTTTGTGCATTTCGTGTTGTGTTTTGTAGAAACAGTGCTTTACCTTTGCGCGTTTGACGTGGTTGTCGCGCGACTGGTAATTGGTATGTGCATATAGCTGAGTTGATGTGCTTTGAGGGGCCGGCTGCGTGGAGTAACAATAGTTAGTGCATTATAGATGATTAGGCACTATGTCGTTGCATAGTCGTGTGTTCGCATGTGCGTAATACCAATATTGCGATAGGAATATCTACAATGAAAGCAAAAGGTTGCGCCGGCAGAAACAACCAACGAGCGCAGAAGAATATGGGTACTAGCAGCACAGGTATTTGCATTACCGGTTTCGGCCTGTGCCTTCGTAGATGAATGTGTATTTTTTTGTTGGTTGTGGGTTTTTCGTGTACTAGAAAAAGCGTGGTAGAGGGTAGTCTGAGTGGTGGTAGAAAGGTGGTAGGGGTGGGTGCGTGGGGCAGTTAAGCTTGTGCAAACTTTGAATATTAATCTGGCAACGATAACGGTGAGCTACTGTGGTAGGTGCACAGACGAACTGTAGTATGTGCGTATCGTGAAGCAGCAATGGTAATCACATTGATTTTTTTGGGGCATTTGGATTTTTACGTATAGGATATTTTTAATTGGACAAACTCAAAGTTAAGGGATGTGTGTGCGTAGAGTATGGTTTGATAAAAGTGTGAAACGAAAACGAAAAGAAAATATGTAGACGCTGGTAGTCTCAATGGTTGTAGTAAGGACGTAATGGTGAATGCATGGGGGTTGTTAGCATGTGCAAACTGGGGAATACTAATCCGTCAACGTTACATGTGACCTCATGTGGTTGGTGCACAGAAAGACATTAGTTTGTGCGTTCACGTATGCGTATACTAACAACAGTCTGTGCATTCTGGGTGCCTATTTTGTTTAGTTTTCAATTAATTAGTTTAAATTAATAGTTTAATTTTACAAATCCAGTAGGCATGTTTCATTATTTTTTAGCAATTGCTGGTACTCTGAATGGTTGTAGTAAGGACGTAATGGTGAATGCATGGGGGGCTTTTAAGCATGTGGAAACTGGGAAATACTAATCATTGCCATCCTTCACCTGCTTCAACGACTGTGCATACAAAATATACATACCAAAAATATACAGATTTACCAACTAGGTAAATATTCAACCACGCCCGTGCATGCCATAACAACACATCGACCAAAAATTATAAAAATGGGTTAGTGGCAAAAGACATCACAAAAAAAAGTACATAGATAAACACCACAAAAAACCTAAATACGCCTGTCTTTTCTGCGCCGGCATACAACCTTACTTACTGCAACGGGGCTATCCACAACAGTCTACTCATCCTGCGGTGCATCCGCAGCCACCCCATCAGCATGTCCCGTCTCAACTCCCGCATCTACCCTTCCTAGAGTGGACTGCTGCTGATCCTGAACTGAGCTGGACGGAGGAATAACTTCACCAACGTTTTTCTGCTGTGCAGCAACAATGCATGCATCAACGGCATTCAAAATCTCGGGGTCCCCCTACATCTCCGTCCAACTTCGGCAGCATCAGCCTGTGGCATAGGTTCAACAACATTGTCAGCACCCACTGGCTCAACTGCTACAACAACAACCGGCTCAAACCGAACATCAACTGGGAATGACAAGAAGTATTTAGAGTAATAAAAAAAAACAAAAAAAAAAAACACATACTCAAACCCAAAACTGCATCCCCATACTGTGGATATGGCTGACTTTTTACAAAAAAAAAAAAAAAAAAAAAAAAAAAAAAAAAAAACATTATAATACATAAAACTAAGGAACGAAAACAACACAAGCAATCCAAAAACCGGTAGTACCCATTAGCATCAACACAATAATAGTGGCGCACCAACACACTAACAGTGCGCACCAACCAAAAAGGAAACAAAAAATAAGCAGAAGCAATTTCCAACAACACTTTATCCCTAACTTACACAAACCTGCAAACATATACGCACAAACCACCCAAAAAAAAACTAGTGCCAATTAGCATCTACAATTCACCCTAACTTGCACAAGGTGACGTAGTACTACGCACAAACCTTCCACAATTATCCCTAACTTGCACAAACCTGCAAACATATATGCACAAACCACCCAAAAAAAACTAGTGCCAATTAGCATCTACAATTTACCCTAACTTGCACAGGGTCACAACTATGACGCAACAACCACCCCACCCAAAACCAGTAGCCCACCAATCTACTACAACAATAACACACATGGAATGAAATTTTTTTAAAAAAACAAACCAACGAGCCGTGGACATTACTAACAAAATAATAAAAAAACATACCTACACACGGTACACCAAGAAAATCCTAACAAATACATAAAAATAAACACACCCTAAAGAATGCACAAACCAGGAATCCACCAACAATGCGCAAACCAGACTGAATACGCAATATGCACAAACTAAAGCCTCTGAATACACAAACCAGTTAATACAGACTAACAGCCAGCCAAACGCACCAACCGAATTAATTCTACGCACATACATCCAGCCAAATCCACCCAAATCAACAACAGACCGGAACCACCCAAATACTAATTATGCATACTACAATCAAATATACTAATTAATCCTATATGGGAAATGGGACAACACCCCCCCCCCCCCCACACACATGCAACAACCCCAAACCTCCTAACCTAAGTACAGTACTACAGAAACCTCAAATACCAAAACCCCCAATATTTAAATAAAAATAAAAATAAAAATAAATCAGAACCCAAACCCTAACCAGTAGCTACACACGCTTCCGCTCATGAACCTACTAGAATCCGGCCACCGTCAAAATCCCCACATCCCGGCAAAAACCCCACAGAAAAAAAAACACAGAAACCCCATAAAATAAGCACGAACAATACACACCCGAGAATTATCAACCCCAACCCCTTCAATCTAGAACAAAACCGATAAAAAAAAGGGAAACAAACATACCTAAAAAAAAAAGGGGGCGAAGACGAATACCTGCCATGGAACCCAACGAGTTGCTCTGAAGTCTCCTTAACCGCCGGACGCTCTACCCAGCCGTGATGAACGCAAGCAACATCCTCTAAGAAGGAAGCAGGAGAGTGCAATGGACGATGAAAAGGCAAAGGATGGAAGGAAGCGGGAGACTGCCTATTCTACGAAGCGACAGAGAGGAAAGATGATGAGACCAAAAATACCAAAGCACAAAAACCGGCGACATTAAATACATAACATAATTAAACCCAATGGCAAAGTACAAAATAGCCCCTATATTCAATCAAATCAAGCGCACATGGGCATAACAACAACTCAATCTGAACCATTGAATTAAAAAAATCAATGGCTAGAAAAAGGGCTCACGAGGTCACCTGGCAAGGGGGGATGCACCGGATTCAAAATATATATATATATATATATATATATATATATATATATATATATATTTATTTATTTATTTATTTATTTATTTATTTATTTATGAATACCCAATTGGACCAGAATCTACCTTACATTGTAGATTATGATCTTAAAATAATCTTTAATTAGACTCTGTATCTATAGATTATAGTTGATATATTTTGTACCTGCAGTTGATAATTTCTGTACATGTAGCTATCATATTATGTGTCAGCAATAATCAAGTCAGGTTCTGTATCTATAGTTGACACATTCTGTACCTGCAGTTGATAGTTTCTGTACATGTAGCTATCATATTTTTATGTATCAGCAATTATCAAGTTATTTGTTTACACGTACAGAAACTATTAACTGTAGGTACAAAATGTATTAACTGAATGTACGGAATTTTTGTATCAGGGTTCACAATGCAATATGATTCAGGCCCCCCATGGTATAACAATTGCTCATTGATTGTTTTTTTTTTTTTTTTTTGTGGGTCCCGCATCCACCTCATCATCCACTATCTCACCCAATCACAAAAACCATTCTCCCTATTTGTTTTAACTTTTAAATTTTTTCTTAGGGGTCAGACTTGTGTGAGACCATCTCACGATCCTTATCCGTGAGACGAGTCGGGTCGGGATGATTCAATATGCAATTGTAATGCTTATACTAGCAAATATAATACTAAATCATAAATAAAATATTTGTTACTTATAAAGACAAATGTAATACTTTTATATTTTGATGTAAAAGTATTACTTTATTCATCAAAAGTATTATATTTTCCCTTATAAGTAATGTTGCACTTATAAAGGAAAATTTAATACTTTTACATCAAAATGTAAAAGTATTATATTTTTTTTCAAAAGTATTACAGTTTCCCATATAAGTAATACACATTTTATTTTGATTTAGTATTACATTTGTTAGTATAAGTACTACATTTTATCTTGACCCGACCCGTCTCACAACAATTGTTTTACCGTGAAACCATGTCCACCTTGCAAGGTGGACACGGTTCTATGTTCATAATTACTGAACTCTATGTTCATATTTATAAAACTTTATGTTCATAATTTTTGAACTTCATATTCACAATTATTGAATTCTATATTTTCACAATTACAGAACTCTATGTTCATAATTATAAAACTCTATGTTTATAATTTTTGAACTTCATATTCACAATTATTGAATTCTATATTCACAATTACAGAACTCTATGTTCATAACTCTAGAACTCTATGTTCATAATTTTTAAACTCTATATTCACAATTATGAACAATTTTGAAATCGTGTCCACCTTGCAAAGTAGACACAGTTCCACAACATAATTTGCTGTCTCCCGGACAAGGATATATGAGATATTCTCACACAAGTTTTTGTCATTTCTTATTTTTCGTAGACGCACTTTTTTACTATACCATATTTTAATTATTTCTTTATTTATTTTAATTATAAACTTATAATTGTAATGATACCTACATTTAAAATAAACATACCTACATTTAATAAATGATAATTATAAACATTTAAATTAATTTTTGTTGTTGCTCTATTTATTTTAATCATTTTAAATTTTAATTGTAATTAAATCATTCAAAATTTAATTTAAAAAATATATTACATTTTGAATTTTGTAAAAAATTTTAAAACAAAAATAATAAAACAACAACAAAAAATAAATGTAAAAAAAAAAAAAAGAGCACTGTCGCATGAAAAAACAGAACAGACAAGATTTTTTTTTTTTTTTTTTAAAAAACAACAAACAAACAAACAAAGATTGAGAGTGGCCACCATCGCCCAAGTGCCGTGGAGTCGCGCCGTGAGGCACAATTGTACATCTCACGACTTTTTTTTTTTTTTTTTTTTTTTTTTTTTTTAACTTGTAAAAGTCTTGTTTTTGCAGGAAGAAAATACACCAAAAAATCAGCCTCTGCATTAGTCAAAAATCAGTATATCAGTTTCTTCTATTCCAAAAATCACTAAAGAATTCCTATTGCGGTTGCTGTTAGAGTATGTTCGGTGGTAGGTTTTTTTGTTTTGAATTTTTTGTTTGTTTGTTTTATTTTGTTTTTTTTTTGTTTTTGTTTTTTTGTTTTTTGTTTTTTGTTTTTTTTTTTTTGTTTTTTTGTTTTTTTTTTTTTATGAAAGAAAGAGAAAGATTTTCCTACAAAAATCTAATTTTTCAAAAGAAAAGAAACAAGCACAATAAAAAACACGTAAAATGTCCAACTGGAACATGCTCTTCACACAATCACACACCCAATGGGCAATTAGAGTAGTTGCTAGTCTAGTGATCACTCAAATTCTTTTCTCCTTTTTTTTTTTTAAAAAAAAAAAAATCATATTAAAAAAATATATATATAGACTCAAAAAAACTTGCCAAAAACTCCACCAATGAAGTTGTTTTGTTGGAAATTTTAGCTAAAATGATAATTTTAAGTTGTTATTTTGTGATACAAATATATATGGAGTCTGTTAAGGAGTTAGTTCTGTTAGAGCTAATAGTTTTAGTTTCCTTTATTTGTGGTTAGTTTCCTAAGTACTAGCTACTTCACTGTGTATATAAACTCTGTGATCTCAAGTCTAATAACACACAGAAATTCTCTTTGTTAAACATCCATCTGGTATCAGAGCCAGGTTAGACTTGAGATCACAGAGTTTCTAATTTGGTTTAGATCAAAATGAGTTCAAATTCTTTGTAGTGAGACGAAAAAATCAATATATTACACGCTCAAATTGGATAATGAATGAATGAAAAATTGAATCTCAAATAGATTCATTTAAGTTGAAAAATGAAGTTGAAAAGACTTACCCATTTTATTGGGGAAGTCCCACAACCTCAAGCATTATAACACGTTAACACGTGTTCTAAACCACCAAGCTATCACACATCTTATCTTATGTATTAGAAAGCAATATGCTCTAGTTACGTGTACAACCAAGATTGAAAGCAAGCCGATGCCGTACATTTGTCAACCATATGGGGGGACATCTACTATACTAATAAGAGCTCAAGAGAGTTAGGCCTATAATGGGTAGAAAAAATGGCGGTCAAATTTTTTAATCAAATGAATGGCTCAGATTGATCCGATTTTAATTTTTCCTTAAGATTTCCTAATATATCCTTAATGAATATGATTATCCGTTAACTTTTCCGTTAAATATTATCTTTTCCGTTAATTTCAGTTAGTTCACCGTTAACTTACTTATTGATTTCAATAAGAAATGTCTTAGGTTCGAACCACATCCCAATCAAACTTGGCATAACTAGTACGCTATTTTACTTTTATTAAATTAAAGGGAAAAGGGTCAAATAGACCCTCAAACTTTTGCTAAAGAGTCAATTAGACCCTCCAACTTTTTAAAGGTGCAATTACACCCCTAAACAATGCATTTTGAAGCAATGAAGCCCAAATACAGGTAAATAACCTGCTATCAAAGGTCACAAAAAATCCAACGTATTTTCGGCAAAAAGTGACCGGCGACGGTCACCGGTCGCCGGTCAAGAACCTTCTCCGGCAACGGTGGAGAAGGCAACCCAATCTGGGTTGCCTTCTCTGGACGAGAAGGCCACTGTGGTGGCCTTCTCAACCGGAGAAGGCAACCCAGATTTGGGTTGCCTTCTCCAGCGAGAAGGCAACCCAAATCTGGGTTGCCTTCTCCACCATTGCCGGAGAAGGTTCTTGACCGGCGACCGGTGACCGTCGCCGGTCACTTTTTACCGGAAAATACGCCAGAAGTATGCCGGATCTTCCGTGACCTTTGATAGCAGGTCATTTACCTGTATTTGGGCTTCGTTGCCTTAAAATGCATTGTTCAAGGGTGTAATTGCACCTTTAAAAAGTTGGAGGGTCTAATTGACTCTTTAGCAAAAGTTTGAGGGCCTATTTGACCCTTTTCCCTAAATTAAATAATAATTTAGTAGGTACAACAAAAAATAATACATATGCATTTCTTTAATTTAGAATTATGTGTCTACAATGTCTTTATTAAAAAAAAATTATTCATTATTAATAAATTAAATAAGAGAAATAATTTTATTAGTTATATTTTCTTTATTTTTCTCCAATATAAAAATTCTTTACATTCAAATTCATCAATTGATTATATTCGCTACATTGTCCCAACAATCTCTTTATTAAAAAAAATCATTCATTATCAATAAATTAATTAAGAGAAATAATTTTATTAGTTATGTTGTCTTTATTTTTCTCCAATGTAAAAGTTCTTTATATTCAAATTCATCAATTGATTATATTCACTACATTGTCTATTATCTTTTTTTTGTGCACTATTTTTTTAAATTAAATATCAAAATTGTAATACAAAATAATGCTATATATTTATTTACCAAGTATTCTATTAATACCATGAAAAAATTTAAAAAATATAATTAATAAAGTCAATCATATTAACTACTTAAGGATTTGTTGACAAAGAGAGTATTCAAATCACAAAACAAATTGAAGTGAGAACTATCTCGCAATGTCCTTGTTTGATAATCAGCAGTTAGCGGATTATATTAGCGAATTTGACCAGCGAATTATATCAACGATTGGTAAAAAGATATTTGAAAAAATTAGCTGTTTAAATTAACATGTAAAATGACCTAAGGGTATACATATATTTAATAATAATAATAATAATAATAATAATAATAATAATAATAATAATAATAATAATAATAATAATAGTTTTAATATATATATATATATATATATATATAATTAAGCCAATCATATTACCTACTTGGGGGCTTTGTTGACAAAAAGAGTATTCAAATCACACAACTTGAAGTGGGAAACTACCTCGCAATGTCCTTGTTTGACAATCAGCAGTTAGCTCTTCAATATTATTAGTATATATTTAATATTTTATGCCCTAATTTTTATTTGCTCTCCCTTATGTCCCGTATTTGGTTTCAACCATACTTATACAATTATTTTATTGACAATTATAATCAATCTTGACTATATTATCTTGCATTTGTAAACTTAGAATTATCTATTTAAATACGCAAATTCAACATTCAATTATCTATGCATATATGAACAATTCGAATATAATCTTGTGTTGATATACTTTAAAGTATTTATTTAAAATAAAAAACATTGGGCATTATCCCAATCGCGCAATGCGCGTAAAAAAACTAGTCTACACTATAAATAGACACACTTTACTCCCCTTAAGAATCATTCCTGGGCTCACTAAATCCTAACTCGCTTAATAGTTTGTGATCCCAACCTTCAACCCCTATACCTAGGACTCGATTCCTAGTTATTCTTAGTCTATTCCTTAGGCTCGATTCCTAGTAGTTACAATATTATTCTTAATCCATTCCTTAGGCTATAACTTGTATTATTTATTTATTATTTTGGATCAGTGTCTCGAGCATTACTATTTTGAACCTTATTTTGTATCAGTGCCTCGGGCATTAATATTTTGAACCTAGCTCCCCAGGTAATAAAACTACTATTTCCGTACCTCATCCTGTACTTTCATTCCCAATTTATGGTAGATATGGTTCCATCCCAATTTATGGTAGATCGGGTTCCGACAAAACCATTAGATGTGTGTATTTACATTAGTATATATACAAGTTATTCTTAAATGGTGGTTGAATTGTATATACAAGTTCCTCTTAAAGGATGTGGATTCCCCTTCAGTTTATGTGTTACAAGTGAACTCCACAAATCACCTTCACCTCAAATTCATACTAAAACGGTAAAACCCATCAATATATGAATCTTGAAGTGAATAATTCAAACATGTACATAGAGACATAAAATATACCCATAGCACAATACAGAGTACATAATATTAGTTCTCATAAAAATTTCCCCGAATAGATTGGAGACTACAAATATGGTAATAAACAGATCGTGCTTTTTAGTTCTACACCCGAACATCGATCTGTGATTTTCCATTTTCATTAAAAATCTGCAATAATCTAAGAAAATGGTTTTAGTCTGTAGGGAAGCACTTCCTCAAACGGTCCAAAGAGTGGCTTCGGGAGCTCGTTCCAATCATACCATTCCCAACCACCAGACTCCTCAGGCTCAAGATTTTGCAGAACCTGAGCAGGATCAACCAGGATTGCTCGTAATAGGATGCAAACAACCTGCACATTCTCTGCGATCACATTGTTGACAACTGTGTAGATCTCAGTTGTCTCAATGTCCAATCCGGTCTCCTCCTTCACCTCCCTCACTGCACACTCTTCAAAACTTTCGCCTGAAGTTAATGGAGTGTAGAAAGTTTGGACACTGATGAATCATTACAGAAAAAACAGGTATAACACAAATCCTTCAAAACCTAGTAACTAGTAACAGATCAGAGGAGTGAGTCATATGGCATGTTGCACAAAGAGTAAAAGTGATCTCGAGGGCAATCCTACCCAACCAAGTTGGTCAGGTTGTTGACTTAGTAACCACAAGTCCATATAGTTACAAGTTAGACTCCAAACGGGAGCACCCTAATTGGTTTGAGCCGACTAGCTATGTGCAACCTAAGCCGGTTTACCTCCTTGTGATCGTTTACCGGTTAGGGTCATACACAACATCATGGGACATTATTAGCTGGGCTTAGAGCACAAAACTTTCAGATTCCTGAGGCTGAAGACATAGACAAAATCAGTACATCACAACCTTTTACTAGACCACTCAACAACTATAACAAGCCCTGCACACAAGCTATTGCTTATGGTGCATAACTCGTAGTTCTGATCTAGCAAATAATCTCAATCTTGAGCTCTCAACCTAAATGTATTAGCCTAGATAACTTAACAAGTAGCTTGCAACCAACTGAAAAACAAGAATATACTACTAGCTAACAAAGTTATTATTGCTTAGCTCTCACTATACAAAAGGTACCATTGAACACTAGATTACTAGAACATGTACCAAGTTATTGCCTTGAAAAAACTAGTATCTATAAGTACTGTTGTAAAAATTGACCTAGGCAGTCGCCTTACCCGCCTAGGCGCTAAGCACCATTGACAAAATACACCAACGGTGTTAACAAAAGGCACCAATAGTGTTAGGAAAAAACACAACAATAATATGCACAAATACACCAAAAAACACACAACACACCCCAAAAAAATGCACCATATAACTCCCTACGCCTAATGGTGTATTTTCGAACACTGTGTGGTGCTTTTATTCATACCTAATGGTGCATTTTTGGTGATGCGTACCTAATTTGTGCATGTTTTTTTGTTGTGCATTTCCTAACATGGATGGTGTATGAAGGCGCGGCCGCACCTGAACTCGATTCTCTCTCTCTCTCTCTCTCTCTCTCTCTCTCTCTCTATATATATATATATATATATATATATATATATAATGCCCAGTGACTACTGTAACCATGTCTATAAGTGAGTTAGTCAAATCACCAGCATCTTTCCTCCCAAATTGTTAATCGCAATTGAGAATTTTCATTTCACTTTAAAGAGAGATAAGAAAAGCCAGATAGGAATACAAGCAAGAATATTATACAAACAGCGAAGGGCTAACCTTCCACCCAAAATCAATTTTCTTACTAAGTTTAGTCATTTACCAAGAATGCAAGAAAAAAATGCACAATATAAGACTGTACTCAAAGTAATTATATAATACCAAATATGTAAATACGCTGGTTGACGCATCAATCAGGCATCATCAACACAACATGACATTTGAAATTGGAGCAATCACTTTGATAATTGGTTAGTAAAGTAAAAGAAATCCAAATAATTGACTAATCGAATTTGCAAGAGAAGAGACAAAATGGATTAACTGACCGAACTCTAGTTCTCCGCCGGGGAGGGCGAAGGAGTTGTTGCCGGAGGAAGAGATGCGACGGCGTAACAGCACCTTATTTCCATTTAATAAAAACACCGCCACCGCTATCTTTTGCACCGGCGGTGGCGACGACGGCGATTCGGCGCCATTTTCCATTTTGCAGGTCACTGTTGACTGTCCAAAATCGATAAGCAACGGAGAGAACTGAAGCGGGTTTTGATCGGTTTCGGGCAGGATTTTGTATGCCCCGGCAAATTATGCCAAAACGACGTCGTTTTAATAAAACGTGCGTCTCCTCTTTAAAAAAAAATCAGGTTTGATTCCCAGCAACAACATAAGAACTAAAATTTATAATCGATGAACTATAATTCCATAATCTAATCTATGAACTAAAAATTTCAGAATGAATGAACTAAAATTCCATAATCTATAAACTAAAATTTCAGAATCGATGAACTACAATTCCATAATCGATGAACTATAATTCCATAATCAATGAACTATAATTCCATAATCTATGAACTAAAATTCCAGAATGAATGAACAATATAATGTTGTTGTTGAGAATCGAACCTGAATTTTTTTTAAAGGGGAGACACGCGTTTTTTAATAAAACGACGTCGTTTTGACATCCGTATGCACCATGCATGGTGCATACGGATGCACAGCATAACGATTGGTATGCCCTTATGCGTGTCGTTTTTGACAAATGCTCTGCATTCGTGTGTAACGTGGTTTGGATTAAAAACACGCGTCCCACTTAAAAAAAAAAAAAGAAATTCAGTTTTGATTCCCAGCAAGACCATTATGTTGTTCATTCATTTTAGATTTTTAGTTATGAAATTATGGATGTGTAATTATGCAATTTTTGATGTGTAATTATACAATTCTGAATTTATAGTTATAGATGTGTAATTATGCATGGTGTAGTTATGCAATTCTGGATTTATAGTTATGAAGTTATGTATGTATATCTTATGCAATTCTGAATGTATAATTATGAAGTTATTGATTTTTTTTTTTAAAAGTCGACGTCAAAACGACGTCGTTTTTGCATCCGTATGCACCATGCATGGTGTACACACGGATGCACAGCATAACACTCCGTCGTTTTTGGTATAGGCGTGTTGTCGTTTTCCCGTGGCCGTTTTGGAAAAAATGGGGCTTTTCAATTATTCCAAATGTTTTCTTGGGCCAGAATCATAGACAAAAGGCCCACACCTTCAACAATGGCAAATTACACTTTAAACCATGGTCTATATTGAATTGTGAATTATGGTTCAAAAATAATCTTTAGATTTTGTACTTGCAATTGACATATTTTATACCTGTAATTGATAATTTTTGTATTTGTAAAAAATTTGAAGTCACATAGCATGGTAAGTATATACACAAAACATGATAATTACAAACACATAAATTGTTAACTGCAAACACATAAATTGTTGCCTAATATGTTATGTGTCTGCAGTTAACATATATACTTTGTGTCTCTAGTTACCGTTTATGCATGTAGTTATGTTTGAAATTACCATGTTATGTGGCTTCAATTTGTTTACAAGTATAAAAACGATTAATTACGGGTACATAATGTGTTAAATGAAGACACATAAATTTTGGATCAAAGTTCACAATGCATTATAAATCCTGGTCAATGGTATAACAATTGGTCAACGACGGTAAATTATATAGTAGATCACGGGTATATGTTCATTTTTAATATAATGAAAATTTATTTTTAGGTAATATGTCTACTAATGAACAATCAAAAAATTAATATTGAATTTGGTAAAGATCAGTGACTTTAGAATTTGGAGTACAGAATTGTAGTTAACCTGTATTGTGGATTTTGATAGATAGAAATATTGTAGCCTATGCGTTTGGGTCTAGTTGGTAGTCCAAGCGCGACGTGGCACCCCTTGTGTTTAAATTTTAATTCGCTTTTGCATTTGAATTCCATCTTTTAAATAAGAAATGTCGTTTATTTTTAAATATTTCGATTTTTAAAAATTGGAGGTGTTACACAACATGATATTTCAAACAGTGAAAGTCATCAACGAGTTAGTGAAAATGCACAACCTACCCTGCGTAATTCTAGTGTAAGTCAAGCTCTCAATGTCAGCGAGAAGTTGGTGATAATCCACAACCTGCCTTGCGAAGCTCTAATCGAAGCGGAACACCTCTGAACTACCTCAAAGATTACCATTGTGCACTTTTGAAAAATGATCCTAATTCTGTGGCGTGAGTGGCCGTGCACTCTTGTCCCTTAAGAGAGGTCGGGAGTTCGAACCTCCTCTCGTATGGAAAAACCAATTTGGTCAACACTTTGCCCTTAATTGGGTCATACCGGTGCGAGCGGGGATTAGTTTGAGTATGGTACGGGCTTAAAGGTGCCTCCTACAGTTAGGGCATGCTCAGCACACCTCGTCGTTTGACCAAAAAAATAATCCGTGGAGTTTAACCGATTAACCACATGGTAAAAAGCCTATTGGGTGTAAATGGGTTTACAAGACTAAGCTTAATTAAGATGGCTCTATTGAGAATACAAAGCATGGTTGGTGACTAAAGGATATACCCAAACTTTTGGTTTGGATTATTTAAACACTTTCAGTTCATTGGCAAAAGTTACTACCATACGAGTATTACTGACTACCACAGTTATGAAGCGTTGGCATTTGCATCAACTAGATGTAAATAACGCCTTCTTGCATGGTGATTTTTTATTTTTTTTTGGAGTGTCATTGACTCTATTACAAGGTAGTATATGTTCTATACTTTCTCAATCTATTGTGTTAGTAAATAATAATACATTTGATGCCTCAAATCCATGAAGAATTAGTCTTCCACCAAATTGTTGTCCACATCGCATGCACTGGCATCTTCTCTTGCATGTAGCGCAAAGATCTCCGCTTCACACGTCTGCATGCCCCTTTTTTCTCTTCATTTGAATTGTATAAATAGTGTAGATATTTACATTTGTAATACACCTCTTACATCAATATTGAATTCTCCTTTCTATCTATTTCTCTATTCTTCTCACATAGAGTATATATATATATATATATATATATATATATATATATATATATATATATATATATTCATTTTCTTTGTATTCTCTTTATAAGAGATTAATATATATATATTTATATTTTCCCACTTTATTAATTTTTTTTTGTCATTTATATATTTTCCCTATTATTCAACTTCTGTAATTCTCAATTTTCGATTTTTCGCTTCCGCATTATTTCGCTATATTCCTAACAAGTGGTATCAGAGCCAAGTTTATTTGAGAATTATTTTCAAAGATGTCGACTGTCACTAAGTTCGATATCGAGAAGTTCGACGGGAAAATTAGCTTCTCTATCTGGAAGGTTCAGATGGAAGCCGTTCTAACCCAGAACGGTTTGAAGAAAGCACTAGCTGGGAAGAAGAAGAAACCGGCTGCAATGACAGATGAAACTTGGGAAGATTTGGATGACAAGGCACGTTCAACCATTCTTTTGTGCCTGTCTAAAGAAGTTCTACGTGAGGTAGTAAGTGAGACGACTGCGTCAGATTTGTGGTCCAAGCTGGATACGCTTTACATGGCCAAAACTCTTGAACACGCTTCGCCTGAAGGAGCGTCTGTACACAATCCGTATGACGGAAGGTACTTCTATTAAGTCTCACTTAGATGAATTCAATTCTATTTTATTGGACTTGGAAAATATTGATGTCATAATTGACGATGAGGATCGTGCTGTTTTATTGCTTGTTTCTCTCCCTAAATCATACAAGCATTTCAAAGAAATTATGCTGTATGGTAATAGTAGTGATACCCTTACTTTCGACAATGTTAAGTCAAACCTATTGTCCAAAGAAAAGTTTGACTTTGAAATTAAGTCTGAGGACAAAGGTGAAGGCTTGACTGTAAGGGGTCATTCACTTGAAACATAGAGTAGCAATAAAAAATCTAGATCCAAGTCCAACAAATCCTGTAAGTACTGCAAGAAGCATGGTCATGATGTGACTGAATGCTTCAAGTTGAAAAACAAGCAAGAAAGAGAAAATAAGTCCGCTGAAGCTAGTGTTGTTGAAAGTGATTCAGAAGGCGATGTTATGTTATCTGTTACCTCCGGTTGAAAACGGAGCGAAACCGAGTGGATTCTGGACTCTGGTTGTACATTCCACATGTGTCCTCATAAAGACTGGTTCGTCTCTCTGGAACCGGTTGATGGTGATGTTGTCTTGCTGGGTAATGATACCCAATGCAAGGTTAGTGGATTGGAAGTGTTCAGATTAAAACTCATGATAACGTTATCAGGACTCTTACCAATGTTCGGTATATTCCTGATTTGAAACGCAATCTGATATCGTTGGGTACCTTGGAATCTCTGGGGTGCAAGTACATAGCTGAAGGTGGAGTTTTGAAGGTCATAAAAGGCTCTGTTGTTCTCATGAAAGCTTCCCGTTTCGGAAGCTTGTACGTCTTGCATGGCAGTACTGTGATAGGTTCAGTAGCGGTATCCTCATCGATGTCTGATGCGGATCTCACTCAATTATGGCATATGCGTCTGGGGCATATGAGTGAGAAAGGCATGCATTTCCTGAGCAAGAAAGGCCTCATTGTTGGTTCAGGTACGGGTAAATTAAAATTTTGTGAGCATTGTGTTTTTGGGAAACAAAAGAGGGTTAGTTTCTCTACTGCTACACACCGTACCAAAGATGTTTTGGAATATATACATTCCGATTTATGGGGACCAACTAAATTCCAGTCTATGGGAGGCTTTAGATATTTTATGTCTATTATTGATGACTTTTCTCGTAAAGTCTGGGTCTATTTCCTGAAACATAAAAATCAGGCATTTTCTATTTTCAAGAAGTGGAAAATACTTGTTGAGACTCAGACAAGTAAAAAAGTCAAGAAGTTCAGGACAGACAATGGCTTGGAATTCTGTGAGTCAGATTTCAATGACTTTTGTGCGGCAAATGGAATCGCTAGGCACAAGACTTTGCCTGGTAAACCCCAGCAGAATGGTGTTGCCGAACGTTTGAACAGGACTCTATTGGAAAGAGCTCGTTGTATGCTCTCTAATGCTGGGTTATGGAAACGGCGTGATTTTTGGGCCGAGGTCGTTTCTACTGCTTGCTATTTGGTAAATAGATCTCCACATTCATCCCTTGATTTCAAAATTTCAGAGGAAGTTTGGTCAGGTAATCCTGTTGACTACTCTATCTTAAGAGTTTTTGGATGTCCTGCTTATGCTCATTCCAGTACGGGTAAATTGAACCCGAGAGCTGTCAAATGCATTTTCCTTGGTTATGCCTCTGAGTCAAAAGGGTATCGTCTATGGTCTCCTGATTCTCGGAAAATCATTCTGAGTCGAGATATCACTTTTGATGAAAATGCACTACGTTCTTCTGGAAAAGTTCCCAGTACAGATGAGACGCAAAGTACTGGTGAGAAGGTGGAGTTTGAGTTCAGGCCTATTGATAGTGTTACTACTGCTGATGGTAATACTAAAGATGATGCATCTACTAGCACCGCACCTCTCGTCCAGCCACAACGAGAGTATTCCATTGCTATGGATCGTCCTAGAAGGACAATTAAAAAACCTGCTAGGTATGCTAGTGATGATAAAATCAACATGGTTGCTTATGCACTTTCAGTCACACAGGAAGTTGATGGTGATCCATCCTGCTATTCTGAAGTTTTTCCTATTGCTAAGTTCAAGCAGTGCTTGAGTTTAGTTGACTGTTCCAGTTGTTGATTTCCACAATGGATTTGATCCAAGGTGGAGATTGTTAGAAAATAATAATACATTTGATGCCTCAAATCCATGAAGAATTAGTCTTCCACCAAATTGTTGTCCACATCGCATGCACTGGCATCTTCTCTTGCATGTAGCGCAAAGATCTCCGCTTCACACGTCTGCATGCCCCTTTTTTCTCTTCATTTGAATTGTATAAATAGTGTAGATATTTACATTTGTAATACACCTCTTACATCAATATTGAATTCTCCTTTCTATCTATTTCTCTATTCTTCTCACGTAGAGTATATATATATATATATATATATATATATATATATATATATATATATATATATATATATATTCATTTTCTTTGTATTCTCTTTATAAGAGATTAATATATATATATATATTTATATTTTCCCACTTTATTAATTTTTTTTTGTCATTTATATATTTTCCCTATTATTCAACTTCTATAATTCTCAATTTTCGATTCTTCGCTTCCGCATTATTCCGCTATATTCCTAACATATTGCAGCCTAAAGAGTTAAGACCCCACCACCGGGGTTCGATCCTGTATGGTGACATGTGACTTAAATGAGGAAGTTTTTATGTCATTGCCACCAAGTGTGGATTCCAATTTCCAACAAACCAGGACAGGTATGCAAATTGGTTAAATCATTGTATGGGCTGAAGCATACTAGTAGGTAGTGAAATATAAAGTTGACTACTGAATTAATTAGTCAAGATTTTGTGCAAGTTGTATCTGATCATTCTTTATTTACTAGAGAAAATGGTAATTCATTTATTGCTCTTTTAGTTATGTTGATGATATATCGTGGTAGAAAACGGTGATCTTGAACAAATTAAATCTATTAAATCACATATTAAGGATTTGGACCCTTTAAAATATTTCTTAGGTTTAGAGGTTGCTCGGAATAATGCACTTTATATATATCGTGCACCAGGGCGCACATTGAATTGTGCACCCTGGTGCAAAACGACGTCGTTTTGCACTTTTTTTTTTTTTTTTTTTTTTTGAAAATTTCGTTTTTCCATGTTTGCTGTTAACTTGTTAAAAAAAATTCATGTTTTGAAAATGTACATAATTGTATACTAAAATGTACATAATAGTATATGAGAATGTACATAAACTTTTAACTGTTAAAAAAAATTGTGTGTTCAAATGTACATAATTGTATAAAAAAATGTACATAATTGTATAAAATAATGTACATAATTGTATACCAGAATGTACATAATTGTATAACATAATGTACATAATTATATAACATTATACACATACACTCTGTTGCGTTGACTCCTATACAACTTATCAAAACGACGTCGTTTTGAGAGGTGCGGGGCGCACAGTGCTATATGCACCGTGGTGCAGGGTATAACGATTGTCGGAATAAAGATGGAATTAATTTGTGCCAACGAAAGTATGCTTTGAAATTGTTGGTGGAGAAAAAATTTTGGGAGTGTAAACTAGTAGGAAGTCCTATGGTTATCTCTTCAAAGGAACTACATGCTGACAGTCCTGCACTCAGTGATGTTACTGATTATAGGAGGATGGTTGGTAAGTTATTATATTTAACTGTCGCCCATCTGGATTTAATTTTTGCTACACAACAGTTGTCGCAGTTTGTTGATGCTCCTACAGAGCTACATCTTATAGCAGTGCATAGAGTCTTAAGATACATAAAGAATTTCCCTGAAAAAGGTGTTTTCTTTTTAACATGTTCAAAATTTTCAAGTGAAAGGATTTTCATATTCTGATTGGGCAGCTTGTCCAAAGACGAGATGTTCTATTAGTGGATATTGTGTATTCCTTGGTATTTCATTGGTTTCTTGGAAATCGGAGAAACAAGAAACAATTTCCCCTTCTTCCGAGACAGAATATAGAGCCTTGGCAACTACTAGCTGTGAGATCCAATGGTTGTTATTCTTACTTGATGATCTGGGAATTACGATACTTTTTCCGGCATTATTATTTTCTTATAGTCAATCTGCACTTGCCATTGCCGCGAATCCAATGTTTCATGAGCAGACAAAACACATAGAAATTGATTGTCATTTTGTCTGAGAACGTATTAAAAGGGAATTTTAAATATTATGTATTTTTCTAGTGCCAATCAATTAGCATATTTCTTTACGAAGCCACATGCTCCTACTTTATGGTTGCGAGGAGCGTTAAAATCTACAGCCACAAGAAGCCATACATGCATTAGAGTAAGAGCAGATAGTTCAACTTATTATTTTTGTTAAATAAATTAGTTCAGTTTGTATAGCTGGTAAATAGCGTTTTCTTGTTGACAAGCTCCTATTTATAGTTAGCTTTGTATTTAGTTCTTGTGTGAGAAATAATATACCATTGAGCTTGATTTCTTCTCTCACCACAAAATTTAACAAATACACTTCAACATTTTACATATGCCCTTGTACAAATGACTAATAATATATTCCAAGCACCAGTGAAATGGTATCTAGTAATGAATATATGTTATATTATCCAATAATAACTCATCAATACATGAATCTTGTAGTGAACAATTCAAACATATACACAGAAACATAAACTATACCCACAGCAAAATACTTGTAGCAACCAGCAAAGTGGATCCACCTAAATACTAAACTAGATAGGCTACAAATTAAATCAGAGTGTACATAATATTAGTTTTCATAAATTTTTTCCCGAATAGATTGGAGACTACGAACATGATAATAAATGGATCGTGCTTTTTAGTTTTACACCCGAACATTGATATGTGATTTTCCATTTTCATTTGCAGCAGCAAATGGAGGTTTGATCCGTCTGAAAATCTGCGATAATCTAAGGAAATGGTTTTAGTTTGTAGGGAATGGATTAAACCCAGCCTGAACCACATCCTCCAAAGGTCCAAAGAGTGGCTTTGGGAGCTCGTTCCAATCATACCATTCCCAACCACCACACTTCTCAGGCTCAAGATTTTGCGGAACCTGAGCAGGATCAACCAGGATTGCTCGTAATAGGACGCAAACAACGTGCACTTTCTCTGTGATCACATTGTTGACAACTGTTAAGAGCTCGGTTTTATCAATATCCAATCCGGTCTCCTCCTTCACCTCCCTGGCTGCACATTCTTCAAAACTTTCTCCTGAAGTGAACAGAGTGTAGAAAGTTTGGACACTGATGAATCATTACATAAAAACCAGATATTACACAAATCCTTCAAAACCTAGTAACTAGTCACAGATCAGAGTGAGTTATATGGTATGTTGCACAAAGAGTAAAAGTGATCTCGAGGGCAACCCCATCCAGCCAAGTTGGTCAGGTTGTTGACTTGGTAACCACAAAGTTACAAGTTCGACTCCCAGCCAAAACAACCTATTGGCCTAATTGGTTTGAGCCGACTAACCATGTGCAACCTAAGCTGGTTTACCTCCTTGCGATCTTTTACCTTTAAGATTCTTGAGGATGAAGACATAGACAAATTCAGTACATCACAACCTTTTACTAGAGCACTCAAAAACTATAACAAGCCCTGCACACAAGCTATTCCTTATGGTGCGGAACTAATAGCATTTCTCATCTAGCAAATAATCTCGAGCTCTCAACCAAACTGTATTAGACTAGATAACTTAACAAGTAGCTTGCAACCAACTGAAAAGCAAGAAAATACTACTAGCTAACAAAGTTATTCTTGCTTAGCTCTCACTATACAAAAGGTACCATTGAACACTAGAACATGTGCCAAGTTATTGTCTTGAAAAAACTAGTATCTATAAGTGAGTTAGTCAAAATCACCTGCTTCCTTCAACCCAAATTGTTAATCGCATTTGAGAATTTTCATTTCACTTTAAAGAAAAATAACAAAAGCAAGATAGGAATACGGCAAGTTAAAGAAAAACGAAGTGTCAATAGTATTTCACTACAATAAATCAGCAAAATACAAGCAGGTTTAGCAACAGACTAAATAGCTAGAATTTAGAGAATTTTCCACTTTAGGTCCACAACTATTCAACCATTTTCATATTTGGTCTTGACTATTAATTTTTAAACATTTGGCAATAGACTTATAAAATATTATCATATTTGGTCCCTCCAACCTAATTTCTAAGTTCTAATCGAATTAAATCATGTGTTACGTAAGTTACTTATTTTGAAGGTCAATGGCCGAAAATTAGGCTGGAGGACCAAATATGTCAAGATTTTAAAAGTCTTGAAACTAATGTAGAAAATTAATAATATGGATGTGGTTCAATAGTCGTAGAACCAAAACTGAAAAATTCTCTAGAACTAAAATAGAACAGAAAATTACAAACAGGTTTAGAAACAAATGAAATAGCTAAAACTTAAATACCTACAAATTTAATTGCTTTAAGTACAGAAATCCAAAGATTTCATTAATTTAATTACGGATTTTTTGTTAATAAATTTGACTTTTTTCTAGTGTTTATTTCCAGACAAGCAAGAACATAACATTATAAGAGAAACAGAAAAACAAAATTATGGAAGAACTACCATATTATACAAACAGCTAAGGGCTAACCTTCCAGCCAAAATCAATTTTCTTACTAAGAATCAGTTTAGTCATTTACCAAGAATTCAAGCAAAATGCACAATCAAAGACTCAAAGTAATTATATAATAACAAATATGTAAATCTGGCTGACGCATCACTCAGGCATCATCAACACAACATGAGATTTGAAATTGGAGCAATCACTTTGATAATTAGTTAGTAAAGTAAAAGAAATAATTGACTGATCGAATTTGCAAGCGAAGAGGCAAAATGGATTAACTGACCGAACTCTAGGTGTCCGCCGGGGAGGGCGAAGGTGTTGTAGCCGATGGAAGAGAGGCGACGGCCTAACAGCACCTTATTTCCATTTAATAAAAACACCGCCACCCCTACCTTAGGCACCGGCGGTGGCGACGGCGGCGATGCGTCGCCATTTTCCATTTTGCAGGTCATTGTTGACTGTCCAAAATCGATAAAAGCAACGGAGAGAACTGAAACGGGTTTTGCTCTGTTTCGGGCAAGATTTTATAGCCTTACAGGCCCTTATTATTCGTGTCGTTTACAGCTTGTTTGGTTCGTTGGAAAATATTTGAAAGGAAATGGAATTGAAATTCTATAGAAAATAAATTTCAAGAAAATAGATTTCATTGTTTGGTTGGTGGAAAAGAAATTACTGAGAATATGAATTTCATTGTTTGGTTAGGTTTGAAATGGTAAGGAATAATGTGTATAATGACAAATATAACCCTACATAACAATAATAATATAATAATAATAAAAGTAATTAATAAAGAATGGTGAGGATAAAATTATCATATTAATTTTTCATGGAAAACATTTTCCATGGAAAACAAAATACTTATGATGAGTAAAGAATTTGTTTTCCTCATTTTCAAGAAAAACTTTTTTCAATAGAAAATATTTTCCATCCCACCAAACAACATAAAACATCATTTTCCTTCACTTTTAAAAAAACATTTTCTAATGTTTTCCATCCAACCAAACACCCCCTTATGGGATTGGAGGCTTGGAGCCATATTGTTGTCGTTTTCCCGCGGTCGTTTTGGAAAAATGGGGCTTTTCAATTATTCCAAATGTTTTTCTTGGGGCACAAGCAAAGACAAAAGGCCAACTGCGTCAACCATGACAAATTATTGTATGGACCATGGTCCACATAATGTTATGTGGACCATAATAAAATATACATTATTTTTGTATTGAATGTATATTATATAATATAATATACACTCAGAACAAAAATAATGTATATCTTCTGAATATAATGTACATTATTTTTGTATTGAATGTACATTATTTTTGTACTAAATGTACATTATTTTACAATAGATAAAACATGGTCCACACAACTTGTGTGGACTATGGTCTATACAATAATGATTGGTCAATAATGGCAAATTATGTTGTGGACTCGTGTCCAAAATGTATTGCTGTGGCAAATTAAGGGAAAATGCGGTTTTTCAGTTAAAAAAAAATTTGATTTTGTCTCGTCGTTAACGGCGTTATTCGTTTGTGGCATTATGAATGTACAGTTATAGAATTATGAATGTACAGTTATGGAATTATGAATGTACACTTATGGAATTATAAATGTAAGTTATGAAATTATGAACACAGAGCTGCGCTCTGACATTATGAACTTACAATTATGAACATATAGTGATAAAATTATGAACATAGAGCTCTAAAATTGTGAACATAGAGTTTCGAAAATTATGAATTTAAAGTTATTGAATTATGAATGTACAGTTACGGAATTATGAATGTACAGTTATGCAATTATGAATGTACAGTTATGCAATTATGAACATAGAGCCCTGACATTATGAACTTACAATTATGAACACATAGTGATAAAATTATGAACATATACTCCTATAACAAAGTGGTAGAAGAGAACGGTGCCACTAACGGCACCGTTACCGTGTCCAGCATGCATGCTGGACACGGGTCCATAGCATAAGGATTGGTCAACAATCGCAAATTATGTTGTGGAAACATGTTCACCATGCGCATGGTGAACACATGGGTAGATTCGTAATTTCTATGCTGTAAATTTATATTTTATTTTTCATTTGTTGTTAACAACGTTTCTCTCTTCGCAATCGCATTATTTCGTCTTCGCAATGCAGATATTATGAATCTACAATACAAAAATTATGAATCTACAGTATAGAAATTATGAATCTACAATATAGATGTTATGAATTTATAGTATCAAAATTATGAATTTACAGTTTAGAAATTATGGATCTATTCCGTGTTCACCATGCGCATGGTGAACACGGTTCCACAGCATAACTATTGGTCAACAATGGCAAATTATATCGTGCACCGCGGTTCATAATCGATTATGCACCGCGCATCAAAATGACACCGTTTTGTTTAATGAAAAGAAACTGCATCCATTTCCCGTCGTTCCGCATCCTTCCGCAAAATGTAACTCTGTTATTCAGTTTCATTTTGTATACACTGCAGTTTCAGTTCAACAAAACTACAGTTTCATTTCAATATAACTACAGTTTCATTCGATATTTATAGACTCAAATATGTGAAAATGTTATTTAGTTTTATTTTATATACAATATACTTTTATTAAACACAACTACATGATCATTTTGATATAATTACAGCTTCATTGTACAATATACACTCAAATATGTGAAATGTTATTCAGTTTCATTTTATATATACTGCAGTTTCATTTCACCACAACTACAGTATCATTTTGATATAACTGCAGTTTCATTTGTTAATATAAAAATAATACGTGAGGCAGTGTCGGTTTAGATATACTGTAGTATCAGTTGGTAACATACAAAAAAATGCGCGCTCCGTTAAAACTAACGGCGCGTCGTTTCTTTACTTGAAGAAACGACGTCGTTTTGACTACGGTGCACGTGCATCGCGGTCCACGATATAACGACTGGTCAACAATGATAAATTATATCATGGCCATGGTCTATATATCTTGCATTGTGAATCATAGTCCAAAAATAATCTTTAAATTCTGTACTTATAGTTGACCTATTCTGTACATGCAGTTGACAATTTTTGTACCTGTAAACAAATTAAAGTCACATAACATGGTAAGTGTAGATACATAACATGATAACTACAAACACATAAATTGTTAACTGCAAACACAGAATATGGTGGTTAACATATTATGTGTATGCACTTAACATACTTTATACCTATAGTTAACCGTTTATGCGTTTGTAGTTATGTCAGTAATTTCCATGTTATGTGGCTTCAATTTGTTTACAAGTATAGAAAAGAGTAACTACATGTACATAATGTGTTAATTGCAGACACATAAATTTTGGATCAGAGTTTACAAAGGAATATGAACTATGGTCCATGGTATAACGATTGGTTAACAACAACAAAATATATGATAGATCACGAATAAATGTTCATTTTTAATGTAATGAATATTTATTTTATTGAAGATTATTTTTAGGTAATATGTCTAATAATGAACAATCAAAAAAATGACTTGACTTATAGGTTATAACACAATACTTTATTCAAATCATATAATTTTATTTAACAACAGAATGATTTATTTATAACATTCAAAATATTTTATTTCCCGACAATGGAAACAAATGACATGACTGCTAGTTGCGATCGTGTTTTTTTTTTTTTTTTTTTTTTTTTTTTTTTTTTTTTTTGGGTCTAATCACAGGTTTCTCCGGTTAGAATATACTAGAATCCACACACCGACAGTGACAGATTCGGAAAATTAACTGAGTGGGAGCGAATATTAAATGACGTTAGAAATGTAAATAAAAAAAAATTAAACAATCATAATAAGGTTAAAATACAAAATACATTATAAAGTACAATATATTTATGAGAAAATATGAATCATAATCAATTAGATAAAATAATTTGAATAACAATATATATATAAAAAAAATACTTTTAAATATTAATTCTTTTAGTTAGATCGATTTTTCTAAATTAATTCGAATATAATAAAGTATATTATATATAAACTTGTATACTACATTAATTAAATGATTTATAAAAACTAGACTAAAAGAGCAGTTAATTTGTTAATTAAATGATTCATAAAAAGTGACTAAAAATATTTAATTTATCTTGGGAAAAAATGAAAGAGAGAAGATAATTAAAAGTGTTGCAAATGAGATTTGAACCCATGACATAAGCCTTTTAAAACATAAAATTTAGAGTTCAACTAACTAAACTACTCAAACCATTAATATTTTTAACATAAATATAAATTTTATATAATATTTCATGCTATATATGTATACATATTCATACATATATATATAAAGGGGTGGGGTGGGGGAGTGGGGGCAGCTGCCCCCACACTGGGTCTGCCCCTACACACCGAGACTAATTATGTTCATAGTAGGTAGAACTTCAAATAGTGGCAAAGCACTCACCATGGGTTTTAAGATAAAGGAAAATGTAATACCTATTAGAAAAATGTGATACTTTTGAGGAAAACGTAATACTTTTAAATCAAAATATAATATTTAGGTTTTAAAAAGTTATTTATGAGGAAAAGTTAATACTTATGAAAAACTCAACCCGTTCAAAAAATAATAATCTATAAGATGATCTCAAAGGAGATTTTTCCTTGTTTGGAAGATGAAAATTGATTTTCAAATGTATACACCTTATTATAACTTCTAATCCTAATTAAAATTAGCTATTTTTTCACTGTCTAACATCCATTCCTAATATTACTAAGTTAAAGAGACCAAAAGGTTGTCTTGGGTAAACAAAAGGTTGTCTAGGATAGATGGTAAGACTTGAGGGTGAGTACAGGATGGGCTAAGGTTTGAATCTAGATTAGGTTAGTTTTGATTAAGTTGTTAGCCTTTTATTAAACAAAGGATGGTTATTGTTAATTAATGATGCTTAACATTATTAAAGAGGTGTTTAGCTTAGTTGGGTAGGATGCATTTAGTGTTGGGAGGAATCTAGGGTTTGGATCCTTTACGGTTTAATTATCTTATTAGCTCGATTATTTAGTGAAAGCCCGATTTGATTCACAGGTTCCATTGATGTTGTTTTTGGATTGCTAAGCGGAGAAGGTAACCCATGTCTTACAAAACTTATTTTCCTTGCTATATCTTATTTATTGGCTTCTTTGATAATTGTATGTGTGATTCTGTGATTGAGTCTTGATAGAGCTTTGCCTAGGGCTTATATTGTGTTTATTTGATAATCTTGATGATCTTGATGTTATGATTAATTATATGTATAATCTTGGATTTTAATTATGTCTGGAGCTTGTCCCTAGGGTTTATATCGTGAATCTTGTTATTGTCATGTTCTTGGTATATTTGGGTGGGTTATGCATGATCAGGTGTTGAGTCTAGTCTAGGACTTGTCTTTAGGGCTTTGCATATAGATTTCTTGATGTTCTTGAGGTTCGGGATGCTCCTGAACCGTTATATGATTGATGTTGAGTCTTGGCATGTTTAGGGATCG